TGGAACCTTTTTGGTACTGTTTAGTGTCACAAACCACATAAGTCTATTTGGCTACGTTCACATTCACAGGCCTCATTGCTCAAATCCGATCTCTCTGACTCGATGGTTCACACTCGTTTAGGTAAGTGACTCAAATCTGTCATTAATGTGATGAACCGGCGTCCTGAAATGACCCTCATGAGCTCATCCTACTCAGTAACGTCACGTGAATGAATCACTGCATCATCAGCACAAACTAACGAGCAGAACGAGCTTCGCTGAGAAGATAATTAACTCTGATCAGCTCTCAGCTTCATTATTAGAGCGAGACGAAGGAGAAAAAGGTGAGATGAGCTGCTTTTCCACCGTTTACAGGCTTTAACTTCTGTACGGCGCTGCTGCCATGGTAACGCTGAATGATGGCGCAGTGGAAAAAACACATGAATTCTGATCTGAGCGTCACATTTAAGGTCGCATGACCACGAATCGGATACGTATCCTATCTAGGACCGTATATGAAAGTGGCTCAGGTCAGATTTGAGATCAGATTTGCCACACAGCCCTGAAAACATCAGATCTGAGTCACATTAGGACAGATTTGTGCCACTTGGGCCTGGTAATGTGAACGTAGCCGTAGAAATTTTGAAAAAGTGGTGGAATTCCCCTGTGTCCTTTACTTTACTTAGGAACTATTCCTTTTGCTCATTCTCTCACATGCTCACTTATCATGGCCTCTTTTGTACACTCGCCTGCTCTGACCCAGAGGTCTGTGTGGTCAGTTTGGGTCAGACTGTACAGTACGGTCAGTGCTTTGTTTATGGTGACTGAAATGATAATGTAGCATTTCCCATCAATCCCTGAACTCGTTGCGAACCTTTTTGGTACTATACAGTGGCAGAAACCCCATAAACACGTCTATTACGTAATACAGTTCGAGTCGTGTGTGATGATTTAGTCAGTTAGCATGATAGTAATTGGTGGCCACTACTTTTTAGCTACATTAGCCTCGTAGCTCCAGCGCAAAACTACAAAAAGCAAACTTCAGACGTGTCTTGACTGACGGACGTTTGGTTGAAGGGGAGAAGTTGTGTACAATTAATGTTTTTGGCCAGACTTGAAGGAATTTTGGAATGTCGGAGTTCTTTGAGTGAGAGTAGCGTGGAGACGTCTCTGATTGGTGCTCTGTATCACAGCTGCACTGTCATTGGTGGACTGGCTGATGGAGATTTTGTAGCGTTTTCTTCGTAGAGGAAGTGAAAGAGTTGGTAAACTGGCGCAGCGTTCTCAAAGTGTCGTGTGTAGCCTGACTGCCTGTCTGCTGTATGAGGAGTGAACGGGACTTTTTTTTTTCCTTCTTCTATTTGTTTTTTATTATTATATATTTTTTTAGGGCTGTACACATTCTCTACTCCGTTCATTCCGAAAGTGCACGGCATCACCGTAGCAAGGAAAATGGAAGAAGAAGAAAGAAATGCCTTTGAGAACCGCGTGCCGGGTCTGGACTCCTGCAGGTGAATCGGACTTATTATTGAACTCGCACACAAACACACACATACATATTCACACTGCATCTCACACACACACACACACACACACACACACACACACACACACACACACACACACACACACACACACACACACGACGCACGCACACGCTTTCTGAAAGCGTAAAGCTTAAAAGGGCTTCAGGTTTTAACACTGAATGGTAATTTCAGTTGACTGAGTTTCCCCCTCTTCCCTTTTCAAGCTAATAGAGTTTAATTTCTCTTTTTACGACGTGTAACTACAAAAAGCAAAGCGAAATGTACTTATTTCTATATGAATAAACACTGTTTAAAATGTGTTTGTAAACTGGCTGCTGACTCGTCTGTGTTATGGAGTTTTCACTGCAGTAACACTTGAAATGATAGTTAATGAAAATGAGAATGTTGTGCTTGTAGATTAAACCTTAAAAGGGAATTTCACTAAATTTCTGCCTGTTTGTGTGAATGAAGTCGTTTAGAGTGGTTTGATGTGAAATCCGGAATCCGTGTTGTCGTGACCAGACATCCGAAAAGTTTAATGCTGAAAGGGACCACAATACAGGACGTTATTACAAGAAATGGTTATGAATATTAAGATTTTGGCCTTTATCCCGGGGGAGGTACATGCAAGGCATAGGTTTACAGCGATATGAGCCTTTTAATTACATTTCAGTTGAATGCTATATGGCCAAAAGTATGTGGACGCCCTTCCTAGTCATTGAGTTCACGTACTTCAGCCAAGTGTATGAAATCAAGCACATAGCCATGCAGTCTCCATAGACAAACATGGGTCGTACCGAAGAGCTCAAACGTGGCTCTGTCATACGATGCCGCCTCTGCCACAAGTCAGTTTGTTAAATTACTGCCATGCTAGATCTGCTTCGTCAACTCTTAAGTGCTGTTATTTGAATTTAAGCGTCTAGGAGCCACAACAGCTCAGTAGACCATGCGAACTCAAGAGTGGGACCACCGAGTGCTGAAGTGCATATCGCGCAAAAATCGCTCACCTCTGTTTCATCACTCACTACAGAGTTCCAGACCGCCTCTAAAGGCAACATCGACATAAGAACTGTATCTCCGGAGCTTCATGAAATGGGTTTCCATGGCTGAGCAGCTGCACACAAGCCTAAGATCAAGATGCACAATGCCAGGCGTTGGCTGGAGTGGAGAAAAGCGCCATTTCACACCAAACCACTCTGAAAGACTGAATCTCAATGATTATGAATGAAATTGAATGATGCAAATTTCAAAAAGCTGGTGGAATTCCCCTATGTGTCCATTACTTATTAGCTACATTAGCCTTGTAGCTCCAGTGTGAGGGTCAATTCTCACAAATGCTCGCTTATAATGTTCTTTTCGCATACTTGTCTGCTCTAACCCGGAGGTCTGTGTGGTCAGCTAGGGTCAGACTGTACAGTACGGTCAGTGCTTTGTTTATGGTGACTGAAATGATAATGTAGCATTTCCCATCAATCCCTGCTTTCAGAGCGCTGGTGCTGAGTGGCGTCAGCGTGCTGCTGAGGGTCAGCCGCTTACTGCAGCATTCATAACTAATGGCTCTGTGGAACAGCGCTGTTTTATTCTCTGACCATCACAGCTGCACGTTCTCACTCATTCAAAACGCACTGGGCCATTTAATGACCAGCGCTTCGGTTACTGACCACGACACACATGACCTTCACACTTAGCTTAATGTGTGAATAAAACAGATGAGTAAAGAAGTGCAGGTACAGTAGAGCGCTTTTGGTTACTGTGAAATCATTTCAACCCTCTTTTGCGCAGCATAAAAATAAATCACCTTTGATACATAAAATGGACCCATAAAAATCCAAACGTTTTAAAACTTATAAAAGCATAACTGTCTAACAAGTGTGGGGGTCCTTGTGGGGCATGTTGCTTTATGCACCAATGGAAAGAAATGATGCAGAGCATCATAATAGAAAAACAGGATATTTTATCTAAATATTTGGAATAAAACTGATCAACTACACAATTTGTGGATATTTAAATATTAAAAATGCTCCAAATAAATTACAATTTCATGTTATTTTCAAAGACACCATATTACCATAATGAAACATTGTAATGTTTTGATTTCTCAGACATCCAACAATCAGTTAAAACCACATTCAACTTTTAAAACCTTGCTCAAACATGCAAAATACACATTTTCAAGTAGTCAGAACTTCTGTTTTCTAAATAAAACTGATGACGCTAATTAAACCCCCTGCACGCTGACGGCTACGTGACTGAATCTACCGGAAAGGGCTTCCAGCCACTAATGCTGCATGGACATTAAATGTGTGATAAGATCCTAAATAAACCAAAACACAAAATAATGCTGAGTAAAAATGTATCCTAAATGAAAAGCTAAAGAAATTAGTGCAGTGTCCTCTGGAGTGACCGCATAAGTGACACCTTGTTTGCCGCTGGCTAAATCCATTACACCATCGCAGTGTTGCTTCTAAGCAACAAGCGTGTTTCAGCAATTTCCCATAACATAAAAATTACATATATGATTCTGAATGTTAATCATATCACATTTTTGGGTGGATGAAAAATTGCTTTTCACTGGGAGGTTAAAATCAAACGTGTCATCATTGCGATTTGAAAGTGCAGGTTTTAAATCGTGAGAGCTGCACTTTTGATTATAGCCTACATTATTTATGTTATCTTATGTGAGATTTAACCTAATGAAACAGCTCGTTTACCTTCAGTAGTTGAGTTAGACTGACGAGTATAACTAGATAATTACAGTTAGATGTTAATTGTTTAATTAAGTCCTTTATTCTCTAAATAAACTTAATATTGAATAAAACATCTTGAAATACCTTCTAGCATTTAGCCTATAATATTTCAGTCTGTGCTGTATGAGTTATTATTGAATAAAATAACATTATTAATACGACGGGTGGCACCTCAGTGTTGCTGCTGGACTGAGGATAGTCCACCAACCAAAAATGTCCAATCAGAAGCGTCCTGTGAACACCGATGAAGGACTAGAGGATGACCGACAGCAGCAGATGAGCTATCGTCTCTGACTTTACATTTACAAGGTGGTCCAACAAGGTAGGAGTGTCTAACAGAGTGGACAGTGAGTGGACACAGTGTTTAAAAACTAACACTAACACACCACCACCACGTCAGTGTCACTGCCGTGCTGAGAATGATCCACCACCCAAATAGTACCTACTCTGTGGTGGTCCTGTGGGTTTCCTGACCATTGAAGAACATTTCTGTCAGCCAAGAACAGAAAACTGGGGCTGCAGTGGGCACAGGGTCACCAAAACTGGACAGGTGGAGGCTGTAAAACCATAGCCTGGTCTGGTGAATCAGGCTCACAGATGGCAGGTTCAGAATTTTAGTGCCAGCGGCATGAATCCATGGACCCAGCCAGCCTTGTGTGAACAGCCCAGGCTGGTGGAGGTGGTGTAATGGGGTGGGGAATGTATTCTTGGCACACTTTGGACCTGCTAATACCAATCAATCGTACATGAATGCCACAGTCTGAGTATTGTTGTTGACCACGTGCCCCCCTTCATGACCACAACTTACCATCTTCTAATGGCTACTTTCAGCATGATAATGCGCCATGTCACAAATGTCTTCTCAAACTGG